GAAATCAAGGGCAGAATATGAATTGAAATGTCACATAGTGGATAAATTATGGGATTTGGAATCAAGAAAACCTAGGTTTGGTTCCCATCTTAGACACTTATTATCTGTGTTATCCTGAATAGGTCACTTAACCCTTTCTGAAGTTCAGTTTCCTTATGTATAAAGTGACCTTTTAGGCCCCTTCCAGATGTAATTCTATGATCTCATGAAGAGGCATTCATGTATCCTATACAGGACGACTTGAGGGCAATGAGGTGGTTCAGTGGATAGGGTGCCAGGCCTGGAGTCAGGAAGACTCATCTTTCTGAGTTCAAATCTGGTCTCAGACATTTACTAGCTGTATGACCCTGGGCAAGTCACTTAACCCTGTTTGCCTCAGTTTCCTCATTGTAAAATGAGTTGGCAAAGGAAATGGCAAACCACTCCAGTCTCCTTGCCACAAAAAACCCAAATAGGGTCACAGAGAGTCAGACACAACTGAAAAAATGACTGAACATACAGAAAAAAGTAGAGAGCTATGAAGGTTGAAACAAGATTGACCAAGAGCTCTACCTTTTACCATTAGAAAGAGCACCAGGCTACCAAGAAAAACAGTAATCCATCTTATTATCATTGCTGATATTGTAAGATGTTTGAAGAAAGCAGACAAGCCCAGATGTTCAACATTTCCAGGGCCTAGGAGCTCAGGAAAGGGACTTTTTCTCACCTACTCAACAAACATTTATTAAACATCCATTCTGGTTGATGTGGTTGAATGTAGGACAGGATGGAGGCTGAGGTAAACTGGCATTTGAGTTTGATGCAGGTTAATTTGGTTGTAAGGACCACTGGTCTTAGTTTTATAACAAGTCTGTGAGGGGCACTTTCAAAGAGGAAAGCACAGGATAATGTGTTGAAAATGACCCTTGACAACTTGTAATATATGATCGTGATGAAATACTACTGTGCTATAAGAAATGATGAGCTCAATGATCTTAAAAAAACACAGATAGACTTGCATGAAATAATGAAGAGAGAAATGAGCATTACCAAGAGAACATTGTGTAAAGTAATAGCAATGTTGTTTTAAGAACAACTTTGAGTGACTAAGTCATTTTGACTATTATAAATATTCAAATTAACTACAGAGGACCTATGGAGAAAGACACTATTTGCATCCAGAAAAAGAACTGATAAATAGAAGTATGTATAGAATGGTTTTATATGTGTGTGTGTGTGTGTGTGTGTGTGTGTGTGTGTGTGTGTGTGTAATGGTAGCCATCTCTAGGGCAGGAAAGAATGGAGAGGGAAAAATAAGGTAAAAAAGAGAAAGTTATATGATAACTTTATTGTGTATTTGAAAGGAATAGCAGGTTGTACATAATAGATTTGCAGTTTCACTTATGCCAGTGAAATAATCATTTTTTATTATACTATGTTATAGAAATGCTTGTTTTCTTTCTTAAGTTCAAAATAAAATAAAATTTAAAAAAAAGAAAAGAAATGACCCTGGAACTGTGGGAGCTGAGTGGCACTATGTTAGATGCTATAGGATATACAAAGGGGGCCTTATACTCTATGCCCTCAAGGTGGGTGCAACATAGTATGAAATACCCCAATTAGTGAATATCATTCATTCTTTTCCAATTTTGTTTTCTTTGGAAAATCATGTAAGAGTATTATCTTAGCAAATCAATTGACTTTTTTTCCTTAAATGTTTACCTTAGTTATTATGACATATGTGTACCCACAAGCCATGTTATATACATGTATTTTGCAAAGCAGAAGTGAGATAAATAAATTAACATGTATTGATTTGTACTTTACTATATGAGTTTACAGGGAAGTACAGTCTTACAAATAGAAAAGCTAAGTGAGCTCTGTTTATTAAAATGAATTAATTTCTAAAAGAAATTATTTTAAATAAATTCAATGTTATTTTTACTCCCATATGAAGTTTAGTTTTAAGTATTTTGAAAAAAATTTATATTGTTTTCCAAAAATATTTTCAGTAACTTACCTTTAAATAGAGAGATCTTTTGGTACAATAGAGTTGGACTCAAAAGTCTAGGAGGGTTTGAGTTCAAGTTCTGCTTCTGACATGTATTGGCTGTATGACCCTGGGCAAGTCACTTACCCTTTTAGTGATCTAGCCAACTACTTAAGACTATAAGTTGCCAACCAGCATTGGGAGAATGAGCTCTTGCATACTTATGCCAGTGAAATGATAGTCTCAATCTCTACTTTAAATACTCATTATTGGATAACATAAAGAAGGTAGACTATAGAATAGCTATTCTATCATTTTGGATAATTCTTCATAATATTGATAATATTTTGTCACTTTTTTCTTCAACAATGCACCCATGCATTTTAGTTCTCATGTCCAAAAGCTATCAGGATCACCTTTGCTCTTCCAAACGGGTCATTGCAAACAATATGAGGGTGATTAGGGCAACTAGGAAGGAGAGTCCCTTTCTGGGGACAGTGGAGCAGGATCCAAAGTCTGGGAATAAACAAAATGCTGGACTGGAACCCAATATCATGATATAGATTTGGATGCATTTGCATGGATATGACAAATGAATTCATGGGAGCAGATGAGGTCATCAAAAGAGAGTAGAGAGAGAGGTCCCAGGACAGAGTCTCTGGAGAAAATGATGGTAGGGAGGAGTAATAGATGATGATCTGACAAATGGGCCTGAGGAGAAGCAGAGAGATATGAGAACCAAAATAGAGCAATGTCACAGCAACTGAGGGGGTCAAGAAAACTAGCTTCAAATCCGTTCTGGGAGGAGCACTGTCAAAGAGGGAAAGTGAAAGATAAAACGACAACAATGACTCTTGAACCCCTTAAAGACATGCTAAAAAAAAAAACTAAGAACTTTTCAGTGGTCCCAACAGCCAAATTAGTGTGTTTCAGATTCAGGGAGGATCCATGAGAAAAGACTAGTTGATAATGTCAAAAGCTAATGAGAAGTAAAAAGGATGAGGAGTGGCATATAAACCTGGAGTTTGGCCAGTAAGAGATTGGGAAACTTTGGAAAGAGTTTTTAAGTCAAGGGGTGAGATGAGAAGCTAGGTTGCAAGCATTTTGAGAAATGAATGGGAGGTGAGAAAGTGAAGGCAATGAGTATAGAAGGCTCTCTAATAGTCTGACCATAAAGAGAGATATTTTATAGGAGTTTGGCTTAAGGAGATGGCAGGGTTAAATAAAGAGTTTGAGAATTGTTTGTTTAAAGTTGCTTAAGAATGAAGAAGACCTGGGCATGTTTGTAGGCAACAGAGAAGGACCCAGTAGATTAAAAAGAGCTCCAAAATGAGAAAAATATGAAGGGAAGGGATAAAGGGACAAGCTCCCAGAGAAGACAGGAAGAAATGGGTTCAAGGGCTAAGGAGGGTGTGGCCTTAAAAAAGGGACACCTTTTCCCAAGATTGGAGCAAAAGAAGACAGAATGGGGTGGGGGGACAATGTAGACGGATTTTAATTGGGGAATAGGGATCTCATCATGATACTCTAAATTTTCTTTGTAAATTAGTAAGCACTTTCCTCTACCCAGTGGGAAGGGGTAAGAGAATGAAGAGGACTTGAGGAGAAAAGAGAAATAATTTCTGCAGAGAGTGTTATAAAACAGGGCTTCTTAAACCCCTTTTCACCTGAGAAATTTTTATGCAACCCTGGGTTTATAGGTATATAAAATAAGTATACGAATCAAACATTTACTGACAATAAATCATAAAGAAATTTATTTCAAAACAATTCTTTGATATACATATGATTTTACCATTTATTAAAGATGAAAGCAAATTTCCATACTTATGAGATAGATGTGCTTGTTTATTTTTGCATTAAAAATTAAATTTTGGTCAAATATTTGATACTGCAGGATGTAGAACATCTTCAATGTTTTTCAGAGTTGATTAATATTTTTATTTTATAACTGTCAATACTGAGAACAGCCCTTCACATAAATACGTAGTACAAAATGGCAGAAGTATGTTTAGGGCCATTTCAGAAATTGTTGGAAATTCTGTCCTAATCCTCCAAGTCAAAATTCATTTAATGATTTTATATGTATAGAAAAAACACTGCAATTCATAACATACAATAGTCTTGAATCTGAGCTAAGGTGTTTCTGGCAGAGTTCATTGGCATTGCATTGCGTGATGGCATGTACATTGCAAAGTGTGCAGGTTGTTTGTTCAGAAGCAAGGATGCAAAGAAAGTCACTCGATGCAATACGGGGGAGTGCTTCCAGAAACACCTCAGATTCATTATGCATTTGATTTTGAATTAATTTTTGGTTGTTGTGCATTCAGAAACCTTTTACTGTTGCTAAATTTTTTGAGACCCCCCACTTTCAGTTACATGACCCCATATGGAGTCGTAACCCACGGTTAAGAATCACTGTTAGAGTGATAATCAAAGAAGTATAAAAGGATTGCCACTTAGTAATGACTACCAGTCAGTTAGATGACATAAATTTGTGGTAAAATGGTTATGATAATACCACCTACCCCTCAGGATTGTTGTAAGGGCAAAATGAAATATTTATAAAGCTCTTCACAAACTTTAAGGCACACTGCAAATGCTAAGTGTTGTTAATAGTAGACAGCAAGGTGGCACAGTGGATAGAGAGAGTGCTGGAGCTAGAATCAGAAAAGACCTGAATTAAAATCTGACCTCAGACATTCACTAGTTGTGTTACCCTGACCAAGTCACTTAACTTGTTTTCCTTATCTTGTAAAACAGGGAGAAATAGCACCTTCCTCCTAGTGTTGTTGTGAGGATAAAATGAAATAATGTTTATAAAGTACTTTACAAACCTTAAAACACTACATAAATGCTAGATGTTGTCATGGTAGTGGTTGTTATTGCACTGAATTCACTTGGCATGACTGTGATTCAGCAGCATATGAATAGAAACAAAAAAAGAGAAAGTGAAAACTTAGGGGTGGGGTTTGGCAAGACATTGAGAGGACAAAGGATCAAGGAACTGAAGAGGAGCAGAGTGTATACAGTAGTTACTGGTGAAAATAAAGAAGAGTCTTAGGAGTGAAGCATGGGGAAACAGTTATGGATAATAATGGATATGGTAAGTAGATGAGGTGGAGTGAAGATTTAACTAGTGAGAGTTGAATTTGAAGAGCGGGGAAATCCAGGGTGGTTGAGATGATGTTAACAGGTAAATTGTTGTCCCTAAGTATGAAAGTAGGGATTGTGGAAGAGAGAAGACTGTGAATCAGGTACTAAACTCCTTGAAAAAGTGAGACAATGACTATTAGACAGGTAAACTACCTTAATAAACATTTAGCTTGGTGAGGGCCTCAAAAGAGGAGGGAGTATTACTGAAGGCATCCAAAGTAAAGTGTTAAAGTGGTAGTAAGAAACAAAGAATATGTCTGTTTTTCCTTCTGACCCAGTATGTTAAGAGAGTAAAAAAAAAAAAAAAGATGAATATAGTATTTACTGGAAGGAGCCAAGTTTCTCTGATTGCAAGAATATGCTTCCTTAATCTTGGTTTACTTCAGGATAGAGCTTCTTAACCTAGGGTGAATGTACTTTTTTATGTTCTCATAACTTATTTGAATATATTTGGGGTTTTTTGTATCCTATGTATTTTATTTTATGCTTTTAAAAACATTTTTCTTAGGAAGTATCCATAAGTTTTACTAGACTGCCAAAGGGGCCCATGAACTACAGACCCAAATCCTCTGAGGGTCCACATTGAAAGATATTTATAAACAAGGAAGGGAAGAGTAACAGGCATTTATTAAGTGCCTACTACAAATACTCTGCTAATTGTATTGTAAATATTATCTCATTAGATTTTTACAGCAACCCTGTGAAGTAGATGCTACTGTTTATCCATTTGATAGTTGAGGAAATCAAGATAGAAGGAGGTTAAGTGACTTGCCTGGGTCACCCAGCTACTAAGTGTTTAAGGTGGATTTGAACTCAGGTCTGCCTGACTCTAAGCCCAGTACTCTATCCACAGTGTTACCTTGTTGTCATAAACTGCCTGGGCTCTTGTGCCCAAAATGTACCTAGAAAGTGTTAGAGATCCACACCAAAACATCCCTGTCAAACCCTCCAGGTTTCCATAGCTGAATGTAATTTATCCGTGTACATGACGTTGTATGAGAGTATCTCACACTCTTCCTTTGCACTTCTCCTGCCCTCCTTCCTATTTTCTTCTCTTCCTGACCCCATACTCAATTACTGCTCCACATTCTAAAGACATCCAGGCATTAACTTCCTAACATGCCAATTATCCTGATTACTAGTGGTAGGAGAATGCTCTGATCATTCTTTTATACCCCAGGTTGTGAGTAACATCTATGAGCAACTATCATCACTCTTCAACTCAAGCACACAGCTTCTACCTCTTCAATGTCTATTACCAGTACAGTGGAACACATGGCAGATTCTTAGTAAGACAGTATGGGATTCAGCACCTGTGTGGTGGTGAATGGACCTATCAAACTATCTGTAGGGTCTTTTGGTATTGAGGTTATGGGCAAACAGCCAGACTTGACCACCTATATCTAGCAGTTCTCTATAGGTGTTATGATAGTAAGATGTGTGATTGTAAGCCCTTATGACTACTTGTGGGGTTCACATTAAAATCATCCTAGACAGCTGCCACTCCCCAGGTAGTCATTGATTATGGTTCGTGAGATGAGTGCTAGGACAGATGAAGAATAGAAGCCACATTTCGTAGATAAAACCCTGTTCTGACTATTTGAGCAGACTGAGTTTATAATAAAATGTAATGATGAGTGTAAGGTGACCTAGTCAGCCTGATGTAGTATCAGAGATAATATTCCAATTACTGTGTTCTGCCCATTGTACAAACTGAAAAAGTGCCTAGAAGGCTATGCATAGCGCACTACAAAAATATAAGACAAACTGGGTACCTTTGTTGAATATTATGTAAAAAGGAGGCAGAAAATGTCCATATGGTGGCCTAGGTAACAATGGGAACACTAGTATATAGGATGAAGTGAGCCATTTTTTTAATTAATTTATTTTGATTTATCAACAATCACTTCCATAAGCTTTTTGAGTTTTAAATTTTTCCTCCTCCTCGCTCTCCTCCTCCCTCCCCAAGAAGGTGTGAGATCTGATATAGGCTCTACATATACATTCTTATTAAACATATTTTCATATTAGTCATGTTGTAAGGAAGAATTAGAACCAATAGAAGGCACTACAAGAAAGAGGGAACAAAACAAAACAGAAGAAAAAAAATCAAATAGTATGCTTCAATCTGCATTCAAACTCCATAGTTCTTTCTTTGGATATGGATAGCATTTTCCATCATGAGACTTTTGGAGATGTCCTAGATCCTTGCATTGCTGAGAAGGGCTAAGTCTATCAAAGTTAGTCATCTCACAATGTGGCTGTTACTGTGTACAACATTCTCCTGGTTCTGCTGAAGTGAATCATTCTTGAAAAAGCATCTACATTCATTCACATGGCATAAAAACCTCAAAATGAGACAGATCTGGGATAAAATCCATTATTGCCAAAGATGTAGAATGGTCAGAAAGGTTGCAGTAAGTTAGCTGGACACCTATGGCATCCTTAGCCCCAAACACAAACTTCATGAAACTGGACATACCAGCAGAAAACATGTCTTAGCCAAGGCCACCAAAAGTTCCGAGCCTCCATATGTATATATGGTGTTGTATATGAACATGCCCCCACGACCCACTGATAGAATATAATAGCAGAGAAAGTATTCTATTGAATCCCACCGAGAGGGAAATATAAGCAAGAGTGGAAGTATAGAAACCTACTTAAAATTAATCCTACCTAGGGTGTAGGCAACATACCACTCTTGACTAGTGTCTAAGCAATCCCTGCTTATTCCTATCAGATCAGATCTGACAGGTTCCATGAGCTTAAATGGCTGTAGGTTGGATCTAGAAGAGGGGCTGCTCCATAGCAGTATAAGATTTCCAGGATACTTCATCTCCTTGGGAAAGTTTGCAAAGGCCTTCACTGCTGTAATCTGCAATACCCAGAACTCTATAGCATTTCAGACTTGAGTGTCAGAAATAAATGGTTTAGGTGGGGAGGTGGTGACCTCACAGGTCCCTTCCTATGGTGATCTATGAGTAGCTTCCTACCTAATTGATAAAGAGACATATGGACTTAATATACCTCCCTCTGCTTTCTTTTCTACCGGTCAGCACACTATGGGAAAGACACAGACAAAACTACATCAGAGACACTTTCAGAGATCTCTCTCAGAGAAGACAGTCATATCTTCACTCCCCTCCACCCCTCCCTATACTCCATCAAGCCCAATACAATACTCATGAAAGGCAATTCTTTTTTTTTTTTCTACTCACAGAGCTGGCTAAACTAGTCACACCAGCTCCACTACTTTCCCCAAGCCATGGTGCTTATGGATAGTTTCTGGGCACTCTTGGACCAGGATCAGCCTGGAATTGGTAGCTGATTGTCAGGGGTGTGCTGATCAATTTTTAACAACTGCTTCACCAAAAAGGTTTGACACACTTTTAAGTTTAATCTGCATAATTTTCTCCATTACTTTCTTAAGTCTAGGCAATCAAGGATTGCAATAAATCAAGCCCTGAATTACAGCATTTGCTTGTTTCTGAGGTGTTAATGCTCACGTTGAAAATTCAGCAGTCTCAGGAGTCTGGAAGAGCTGACTCCAGCTCATCCCTGCTGCAAAATGACTTGGACAGAGGGAGTTCTGACTATATTCAATATATGAATCCATGGACTGACTTGAGGTGGCTTATGCAGGAAGAGGCTCTCTGTCCAAATGGAGTTCACCCATGAGTGCAGGGCACAAGTAGACAACAGGAGTAACTGACAAAATTGCCAAAGCTTTGGGGCATTAGGTTGACTCAGAAGAATGGTTCACAACCCCATATCTCCCCATTTGCAACTTATTCTCGCTATCCTGTAGTAAAGATTGGTCTTCTTCTATCCTAAGGTTTTCCTAATCACAGGCATACCCTGACCCCTATGAGGTAGGGCTGGTGCAAGAAACAATGTTGTTTGACTCCTTAACCAATGACCTACAGCTGATGAACAAACTGTTTATCATACTGAAGGACCTCCAGAAGGGGGCTCCAGAGACTGGGGAGTTGTTCTAACAAACTATCTCGGCCCCATAAGGACTTGGCCATATACCAGAGGTATTTGTGAAGTTGAAGGCAGCAAACTGTTGGCTTAAATAACCAGTGGAGTAATTTTCCTTGGATCCAGATAGAAAAGAGAGCCCTCACACCCACCCCAGACTCTTTCATTGGGTTGGTTCTCAGCCCAGGACAAATTATTTATGGACATTTACTATTAAATTCTCCTTAATGGTTAGGACAAGGTGGCCTTCATGGTCTTGCTTAGCTGGATAGCCTTCCTGCCAAGTTAATCCCCTATCTTACTGAATATAGACCTCTTTAAAAAATATATTGATAGCTTTTGTTTTCACATCACCTACATTTCCCCATGCATTCTCCTCCCCTCCCAGAGAACCATTCCTTATAACAAAGATGTGAAAACAGTGAGGAGGTATTGGTTCATCCAGAAGGACTTGATATCTGCCCTTTGAAGCTAAGATAACTGGTCAGTAGATGTGACCAAAGATGAGGGAGCAAGATAGTGCTTCCTGGACATCAACTCAAAGCTTGGCACGAATACTCCTTGGCAATTTCATTATTATCTTTGTCCCCAAACAATCATTTGAAGGCAGACCCACTGTCACATGGCAAGATTTAAATCCCAGTCATCCTGGGTCCTTATACTTACAAGCTGAGTGACCCTGGGTGAGTCATTTAACTCTGCCTTAGTTTCCTCATCTGTAACATGAGCTGGAGAAGGAAATGGCAAACCACTGCTGTATCTTTACTAAGAAAACCCCAAATGGAGTCACAAAATAACTGAACAACAACAGCAACAGCATCCTGAATCCAAGTCAAGTACCCTATCCACTGTCAGAAATAGTCAGCTTCCCCAGAACTCCCGATGTCTTTCTTTATGATGTCATGTGAATTTAATAGCTCTGCAACCTGTTTTCTCTGGCTTATCTCAGCCCCACCCCCGAATTTCTGCACTTTGTTGACATCCTGAATTTATAGCCAGAGGATCTGGGTTCAAATCCCTACTCTGCTACTTGCCATCTGTAAGTAGAGAAAAGGAGGTGGATAAAAAAGATGCATAGGAGATGGAATCAATAAGATGTGTCACTTGATTAGATATTGGGATTAGGGGAGAGTAAGGTAGAGTAAAAACTCAAGAACTACTCCTAGGTTGCAAATCTAGGTGACTAAAAGAATTATGGCACCCCTGATAGAAATAAGGAAATTATGCAAAACATAACTGCACAAGTATAGCCTACATTGAGTAGCTTTCCTTTTCAATGAGGGTGGGTGGGGAGGGAGGAAAGGAGAAAATTTGGAACCCAAAGTTTAAGAAAACACATGTTTAAAAAAAATGTTTTCACATGCAACTGGGAAATCAGAAATATAGGAAATGGGGTACAGAAATCTATCCTGCCCTACAGGAAAATAGAAGGGGAAGGGGGGGAGAGATAGCAGGGAAAGCAGAGTAGGGGAAGGGGTATTCAGAATGCATGCCATCTTGGGGTGGGGGAGGGGCGAGATGGGGTAAAAATTTGGAAGTCAAAATCTTGTGGAAGTAAATGTTGAAAACTAAAAATAAAAAAAAGAAATAAGGAAATTAGAAAGAGAAATTAGTTTAGGGGATAATCAATCAGCCAATCAACAAGCATTTCATGAGTTCTGTTTTGAATATATTGAATTTGGGTTGGCTATGGGACATCCAGGTAGAGATAACAATAAGGAGGACAGCTAGGTGGTGCAGTGGATAGAGCACAGGCCCTGGATTCAGGAGGACCTGAGTTCAAATCTGGCCTCAGATACATAACACTAGCTGTGTGACCCTAGGCAAGTCACTTAACCCATTGCCCAAAAAAAAAAGAAAAGCAAAGAAAAAACGAAAAAGAGATAACAATCAGATAGTTGAAGATTCAGGACTATATTTCAGGATAGAGATGAAGTTTAGAGATACAGATGTGAAAGACTTCTGCATAGAGAGTTTGATTCCATAGAAACTAATGACCTTACCAGGAAAGTACAGAGAGAGAAGATGTGAAGGCCCAGGACAAAACCTTGGATTATAACTTATACATACATCCAAAAGGTAGAAAGTGACCAATGAAAAATCAGTGTCATGAAAGCCCAGGGAAGAGAAGGTATCCAGCAGGAGGTAGTGTCCAACAGTGTCAAGAGAGAAGTCAAGAAAGACAAAAACTGAGAAAAGGCCTTTGGATTTAGTGACAAAGAAATTGTTGATGATCCATTTCAGTCAGTAGTGAAGGCAAATTGAAAAGTTTCAGGAAATGAAGTCAGATTGAGGGGAAGATGAAAAATGGAAGAAATATAGACAGTGATGATATTGTCAGAGGAAAGTTGTTTTTTTTTTTTTAAATAATGGGACTTAGTCATGTTTGTAAACACCAAAGAATAAAAAATGAGTAGTAGGAGAGAATAAAAATTAGGACAAAAGAGAGGATTCTAGGAAAGCTATAACTTTGCATGATCTATTAAGGTTCACATCCAAAAGGAGTATTTATGATGAGTTGTAGCAGATGATTCCTCTGGACAATTACAGGGACCTGTAATTGCTCTGTATCACCACCTTCTGTCAAGAGCTTTCAATCCTTTCTACAAGCATTTCTGTCCTGATTTTCTGCTTTAAATTTCCAGTACTACTGTATATAAACAATCCCACAGACTATTGCTAGCACCTAATGAAAGGGCCAGGGCACTAGTATTACTTTCTGCAAAGTTAAAAAATCGCACATTCCCTTGTCCATCCTCCCTATTCTTTCCCATGATCCCATCTTCCATGACGATAACAAAAGTTCCAATGCAATTTTATCTCATAAAAATTAGGTTTTATCAGAATTCAGATGAAATGTATGACCCATTTTTGTTCCAAAGCACCAATGATGAAACATACCTCCCACCTCTCAGCAGAGAGGATGCGAATTAGGGGGTCAACAATAGTATGTACACTGTCAGACACAATTGTTCTGTTTCACTGGTTTCCTTTATAAAAGAAGGTTCAGTTGGGGAGCACGATAGCACCCACATCCCAGGGTTGTTGTGAAGATCAGATGAGATAATATTTGTAAAGTGCTTAGGACAGTGTCTGGAACTTTGTAAGCTCTGTATAAATATTAGATAATTAGAAGTAGTAGTAGTAGTAGTAGTAGTTAGTAGTAGTAGTAGTAGTAGTAGTAGTAGTAGTAGTAGTAGTAGTAGTAGTAGTAGTAGTAGTAAAAGAAGAAGGTTTCCATTTTCACAAGCTAATCAATGTTAATTGGTTAAATGGAACCAGAGAGTTAATCACTTGGTGCTTAACAGCAGAGGTAACATCACAATGGAGGCTAAAGCTAATATATAATATAGCATTAGAAAAGAAATATTCCTTGGTAGTACCCATAAAATCCTGAGGGAGAGATGTAGCCAGCCTCATCATGGAAGAGTGACATCAGAGCAATCACCACACTGACAAAACAATATTGTTACTTTCAATCAATTTTCTTCCTGACCCACAGATTTCCTAATTTATATTTCACTTTCTACCAGAGCTTCTTTTTTTTGAGATTGAACAGTCCCCATACACTAAACTAAAATGCCTGTTCTTTTTCAAAATTATTTCTAAAGGCAAAACAACTTTTTAAACATATTTTCCTATGCCTAGATGTCTCACAGGTATAGCTGATGAGCAGAATATGCAAATCAGAATGTTTCAGAACAGGTGAGAATTCCATCAAGTTTCACACGTGAGAGTGTTTCAGTTGGTGGGGAAATTACAAGTTTCTTACTGATAAGAGAATTGTCTATTTTATCACTTCATGTTTTGTGCTATTTTCATATCATGAAGCTGAAATAATGGAATTCTAGAAGAACTAATTTCCTGGGAGAAGGACAACATCTGATTGAGGAGGCACGAGTGTGGATTTAGATTTAGAAGAGCTCTTTGAAGAGGTACATCTTGTCTCTATTAAGGTTAACTCCTCTATTTGTACTTTCCTCCTCTGAAAGTTTGCCCATTAAACATTCCCTCCCTCTCATTCCCCTTTAATCTTTTTCTTTCCAGTTCAGAGTTCTTAAGGTCCATGGACCCTAGGTTAAGAATCCTTCAAGCAGATCCTTTCTTCCCGTACACACTTCCATCTCCCCAGTCTCTGAGGGGAAAAAATAACTTGCCATGCCCTCAAGGTTTCATCCTGTATCAATCATCCCTTTCATTTTCAAGTTCCTAGAAATTCATTGAACCCATTGATTTACCACCCACTCACTTTTCAATCTTTACCAATCAGATTTCTGAGTGTACTCTCTTCTGAATCTACTATCAATATACACTTGAGTCCATAAACAGCAGAAGCAACTCTCCTTTCCTTGCTGGTAAACCCCACCTCCCAGAGGACTTATGGAGTGATCCAGAATGTTAGTATTACCCTGCAAGCAGAAGGTACTTGGAGATGCAGGAGAATTATCCTCTCCTCTGACCAGCCCCCTTCATTCTGGGTCCTAACCAGTTCTCGTGGATTTAGATCACTACACTGGTTTTTAGTTCTTCCTTATCTGCTGTTCAGTCATTTTTCAGTTGTGACCACTCTGTGACCACATTTTGGGGTTTTCTTGGCAAAGATACTGGAATGGTTTGCCATTTTCTTCTCCAGCTCTTAATTATTAAATCCAATGACTTTTTTCTCAGTTCATATTCTCTATTGTTATCATGCCTTCTGGAAGAATGGAAAACTCCAATTTCTGCCAGTTATGTCCCAAAACCTGTTGGAATGCCAGCACTCCAATGATAACCTTAGTTGTTAATCATAGTATAGCTACAAATCTGAACCTCCACAAAATAATTCCCCTGTTTTGCTTGAGAAAGAGAGAAGTTTAATGAGTATGAAAAGCACAGGGACTGTAGGGAAATCTTTAGTTCATCAGATGTACCAATCTATCAAAAAAAAAACCCTCCATCAGAATGAAAATGGAACCTTTAACAGTAATCTTAAATGTACAAAGCACACAATTATTCCTGTAAAGAAAATTACAATTAATACCATTCCCAAGACCAATGGACTTTTCAAGTCTGAGGTGGGGAAGGGGAAGGGAAGATGAAGGAAAATGGGACAAAGGAAGGAGAAAAAGAAGAGACAGAGAAACCAACTTCTGGTTGATCACTCTTCCACTCACTGGAATAACATGTATTTACTAATGTCTCAAGAGAAATGAGTGTGGGGGGGGGAAGGCACAGGGGAGAGGGAGTTCAGTGAGAATTTTTTACTGGTCTATGGCTTTGGCAGAACTCAGTGTATAGAATCAGTTCAGAAAATTCCCCACTCATAAAAAAAGAAAAGAAAAAAAGCTAAATTCAAGACAAACACTCCAAAAAAGCATATCTACAATTTCTGTTCAAACTAGGTCACATGCTTCTCCCAAGATGTGACAATGACTCCTACTATAAGCTCTATCATGAAGAAGTCATTTTGGAACAAAAGGAATCTGGTGTGTGTATGTGTGGGGGGTGTAGGTGTGGGGGTGTGTGTGTGTGGGTGTGGGTGTGTGTGGGGGTGTGGGTTTGGGTGTGGGTGTGTGGGTGTGTGTAGGTGTCTGCAGGTGTGTGCTGTGTGCCCTGGGTGCTGAACAGGAAGCCATCTCCTCTATAGTCCAAATGATTTACCAGGGAAAATATCTCTAAATCAAAAGGACCCTACTCCATTCAACATGGAAAGTCACTCCCTTAATTTGGTGATCCATTTGGAGACCATTTGAACTAGCTGGACCTAAATGGGGATAGAATTAGGATCTTCTTCCGATCTATTCTGTCATCATTAAGGGGAGAAATCACCATGGAGAAGGGCCCACCGTCCTCACCATCTCCAGCAACAGCTGCTGACCAACTGCCAGCAACATACAAGAGGCCTGGGAGTGACACTACCCAGCAGACCACCAGTTCTGCTTCCAGCTCATCTCTCACAATCATCATTAAGAAAGCAACTCATGTGGAGAAGAAGCCAGCCATCCTTCTCTAAATGTCACCCACAAGGCAGGGCATGTCCACCTAATTGAAGCACTGACACTCAGGTGTGGAGGGCATAGGGAGAAACATGAGGCAACATATGTCAGTAAAGTCAGACCACACACCACAATCACCACTCTGAAGACCATCTCCCCTTAAACTCCTATGGAGGACCCCAAACCCAAGAGTCTTGAGAATATCAGTGCTTCCATCCCAGTGCCTGTAGACATCATCCTGGGAAACAACCCCTTTGGTAATTGGTCCTGAAGGTGTTACAGCCACAGCTACTGAAGATTCAAAAAAGAAAATTCTTGTCATCAAAGTCCTTGGCACTGTCAAATAATTCAATATCATAAACTGTTAAAATTTTATCAGTGGAAATGACATTAAAGAAGAATCATTAACATCTGCTTTGCCATGGCACCCAGGGACTTTTCCATCTGACTCTCAGCTAAAATTTTCCATATGTGTTATCTCTCCCATTAGAATGTGAGCTCCCTGATTACAGGACTATCTTACTTTTCCATTTGTATTCCCAGGGCTTAGCACAGTGCTTTGCATTTATTATAAGTGCTTAATAATTTTTTTTTTACTCATTCAACCACCTTCATTCCTATTCAAATAGTCCAGAAGCTGCTAGCTACCATGTTATCAAGCAGGGGAAGATCTAAGGAAACCCTTCAGCCAAATCCTCCCTAAATCATGGTCCCTGGCACCATAATACTGATGGCCTGATTAAGTCTGACCAGGGCAAACCAGGATTATCTTCTATCTGCTTACTTTCCAGTCCTTATGCAGCCTTTGGCTGCTATATTACATTATTGTCTTATATTGTTTATGTTGCTCCCATGTAAGACTCCAAGAGCAAACAAACTACAATCTAAATGGCTTTCACCCAGTTTATATTTATGAAGTGGATGTTTTAAAAATTCAAGTCAAGTTTTACATTTATTCCAATTAAAGTTCTTTTTCTTTAATTAAACCAGACTTTCTAGCCTCTTAAAAACTGTTTGTATCCTGACTAACCTCAAGTATGTTAACCATATTTCTTGGTTTTCTGCCATCCGCCAATTTGATAAATATCCCACTTATCCCTTTAAATCATTAACAAAAAAGTTGAACAACACAAGGCTAGGGATGGATTCCTGGGGCACACCACTGGCCAACACTGTCCAATTAGACTAGTCTAATAGTATTAATATTAACAACTGACACATGTATAATGTTGTAAAATCTGCCAAGGGCTTCATATACATATCTCTAAACAACTCTGTCATAGGTACTATAAGATACATTTTACAGTTGAGGAAACTGAGGCTCATTAACTTTCCCAGGGTTAGCCAGCTAGTTACTATCAAAGTCAGGATTTGAACCCAATTCTTTCTGCTTCCAAGTCCAGCAATCAATCCACTGTTTTGTGCTGCATTTTTTACTCTTTGATTTCAAACATTCAATCATTTCTGAATTTAGCCAACTACTACCATCTCATCCAAATCCATTCCTAGTTTCCATAAGAATAACATAAGAGGCTTTTTTCAAATGCTTGCTTGAAATCTATATAAATTATAGCAACTGGATTCCCTGATCTATCAGGGTAAGTAGATCAAAAAAAGGAAATAAGGTTAACCTCTCTTGACCTGTTCTTGATGAAGCCATGGTTGCTTTTTGTATTCATCATTTCCTTTTGTAAATGTTCACAAACCATCTTTTAATAGATTTTGGGGGGTCAGAACCTGCAATTTCACCACTTCCTTTTCTATGTTCACTAACCACCCTTGAATAATATGTCCCAGAAATTTGCCCAGAATAAAAATAAAGCTCACCAGCATATAGTTTTCAGACTTCACTCTCTTCCTTTTATTGAAAATTAGGACAGTTTTTTGACCTTTTCTTTGGCACCTCTTTTATTTTCCATGATCTTTCAAAGATCACTGAGAGTGACTGAGCAATGACATTCACTAGCTGATTCAGTGCTCTGGAATCAATCAACAACTATTTATTAAGCCCCTGCTAGGTCTCTAGCACCGGGCTAGGTGCTGGGATACAAATACAAGGATTGAAACAGTCCCTATTTATGATGAATTTATGTCCTAATGAAGGAGCCAACAAGTACATATAAAATAGAAATAAGATAAAGTCAATAAGTGCAAATATAAACATACACAAAGTAGTTAACTATATGGTTTGTTGTTATTGTTGTTTGACATTTGTCCTTCATTCTCAAAAAAGACCAATGACATCAGGAGGGTGATATCTTGACCTGCAAGTGAATTGGATTTAAGTGAGGCAGGGTTCTGCAAAATCACCAGCCTCACTCTTTCCTCCAGAGCCACGTGGGTCCAGTGGCAAGATATAGATTAGGATGACTGGAGATGGCCCTGGATGCAGTGGGATTCCTTGGTCTTTTTTATGTAAGGTATATATAAATATAAGACTATAAGGTAGATTTTGGGGAAAGCCCCTAGCACTTGAGGGCCTCAGGAAAGTCTTCATGCAAGATGGTGCTTGAAGGAGAGTGTTGTAGGCATGGAGGATGGCCAATACAAAAGCAGTGAAGGACAGAGAGAATTCTGGGGAGCAATGTACATTGAGGCTAGAAAGGAGTTTGGGGATAGAGTCTAAATTTTATTCTAGTGGCAATAGGAAGCCATTGGAATTGGTTGAGGAGGGAAGTGACACAGACATTTGGATAAGGAAAATTACTTTTGCAGTAGCATATAGGATGAGTAAGAAACTTGAGGCTAGGAGACTAAGAGGTAACAAGGACCTAAACTATGGTGTGTTAGCTATGAGTGGAGAAAAGGGGCAGCTAGGTGGCATAATGGATAGAGCACTGGCCCTGGAGTCAGGAGGACCTGACTTCAAATCCAGCCTTAGACACATAACACTCACTAGCTGTGTGACTCTGGGCAAGTCACTTAATCCCAATTGCCTCACCAAAAAATAGATATTTAAAAAGGGGAGCAGCTAGATAGCACAGTGGATAGAGCACTGGCCCTGGAGTCAGGAGGACCTGAGTTCAAATCCAACCTTAGACACATGATACTCACTAACTGTGTGACCCTGGGGAAGTCACTTAACCCTGATTTCCTGGCCAAAAAAAAAAAAGATTATAGAATTGGAAATGGCAAAATTTGGCAACTGATTGGATATTTGAGGTGAAGGAAAGTGAGGATAATACCAAGGTTATGAAGCTGAGAGAATGGAAGAATGTTGTTTCTTTCCAAAGAAATAGAGAAGCTTGGAAAAGAGACCTATTTGGGAGTAAAGATATTAAGTTCAGTTTTGAACATATTGAATTTGAGCTATATCTGGAACATCCAGTTCGAAAAGTCTTATAGGCAACTGGTGATGCTTGAAACTCAGGAGAGAGGTTGTAGCTGAATATATATACATGGGTATGTAGATATACATACATGTACATATATAGCATATATGCATCTATGTGTGTACGCATCTGAGAGTACTAAGAGAGAACAGAGACAGTTTAGAGGGAGAAGGGAAGGGTGTGGTGTGATATGATTGAAGGGCCAGCAAAGGTTAAAAAGGAGAGTTTAGACAAGTAGGAGGAGAACCACAAGAGAGCAGTGTCATGAATACTCAGAAAGGAGAGTCTTCAGGAGAGGGTGGTCAACAGGTACAGCTATAGCAGATAGGTCAGAAAACATTAGGAGTGAGAAAATCCCATTAAGAACAAAATGCATCTGGACCTTGTGATTTGAACTCATCTAGGGCAGGTAGGGGCTCTCTTACTATGCCTCTACTTAATTTCAATTCCGTATTAGTCATTTTATTCTGTCCTTTCTAGTTCAAAGATAATTCTCTTTGGAAGAGAAAATGGCAGCAATTAAATGCTGAGTACTTCTGCCTTCTCATCATGACCCTTTATTATCATCTCATCCACCCTGAGCAGAGGTCTTATCCCTTCTTTGATACTCTTCTCTTCCACAGCATATCTTTTACAAAACCCCCTTCTTCTTTCCCCTAGATAACAGCCTTATGATATTTGGGGCTTTAGTACTTCTCATCCAGTTTTTACTTTACATACTTTTCTGTTCATCCTTTTTTATCTGCCCTTGCTTCTATCTTTTTACATATCTTTTAAAAATCTAAGTTGATACACAAGTTCCTTATGTATCAACATTGATCTCTTTAGACAACTCCTTTTCTTCCTCTTCAAAAATGTTTCTCTTTGTATCTCATTCTTGAAAGCCTTCTATCCCCACAGCACTGACTTCCCTATATAATAGTTCTTGGTCTATAACATATTTTATTTCATTAAATATTTCTTAATTATATAGTTTTTTTAAAAAAATAACATTCATTTTTTTGAGATTTTGAGTTCCAAATTATCTCCTTTTCTCCTATCCCTCCCGCACCCCTTGAAAACCCTATATAGTTTTAAACCATGAGATCCAACTTATTCTTTCTCTGAAGCCTTTTAAATCTCCCTTCCCAAGAGATCACACTACATGTCTGCGAGTAATGAAACACTACATTCTCTGAAGGACTGAAATTGTGGGTAAGCCGAAGAGCAATAGAGAGATGTATCCTGAGTAGATATTAGTAGCCCAGAGCATATTACCAACAATGTCTTGCATGCAAAAAGTAATGTAGTGTGAAAGATATCATCTACAAAGTATGTGATTGGAAAATGAGATGGGTTGGTCATGTAGTAAGACTAAAGAATAACCAATAGATGAACAGGAGCTCTCCTGGTACCTGTGAGATGTTGCCATGTACAGCCTTTTATAATCTCTCATAAACTTTAAAATTTCTTCCTTCAAGGCTCATGGCTATATCCTCTGGGATGTTCTTCCTGATCTCTGACACCCCACCTCCACCCTGTTAATGCTCTTTCCTTCCATAAATTACCACTTTGTGTTTATTCATCTCTGCACATGCTGCAAACCCCCAGAAGGATATAGGCTCTTTGAGGGGAGGGACTATTTCTTTGAGAGGAAGGACTATTTGTTGAATTTTCAACACCTGTCAAAATGGCGTTTGGTTTGATTTTTTTCCCATAAAGTAGGCACTTGATAAAGTTTGTTGAATTGAATTGATTTGTGAAACCAAGGGGGTAAAAACCTTCAGTGTCTTAGGTAGAACCTCTTCAGAGGATTTATGTACAAGAATCATACCAGATGAGAAGGAATAGATGTGTTATAATCTATACATTTATGTCTGTGAGATAATAAATCCATTTAAGTACTGAAGTATAGAAAAGCAAGAGAGGTGAAGCA